CATGGTGTGGGAGCTGAGAGGTGGCAGAGCACGGCCAGCCGGTGGGATGGCTCTGCTCAGCCCCCATGCAGGCACGAACTTCCAGAACTTGGGCTCCTACAGAATCCTCAGGTGGAACCACTCCAGAGGGGATCACACACCCCAACAGAGTATCCTCCCAGATGTAGACACAGGGAGAAATCTGTACAAGGGCAACAAAAGGCACGTGACATTCCCCATGGGCTCCAACCATATTTTAGGCAGCATCTCTGATGGCAGCAGGGAGCCCAGACATCCACTGGGTTAGGCCTAGGGCTCTGGAAGTGGGCTTCACATACCAGCTCTGTGGCTGACTAGCTATGGGCCTATTCTCTTTGGGCCTGTCTTTTTTCTCAGTAAAATGAGGAAACTAATCCCCCAGAGCGTGGCTGCGAGGATTAGGGGAGATAATGCAGGCAGAAAGTGCTCAGTAGATGCCAGCACTCTCCTGGCGCTGTGTCCCTTAAGCCTCACTAGGACCCTTTGCAGCAGACACATTTCCTGGGTGAGAAAACGGAGGCTCCTAAGACGGGTTCAATCCTCGTCCTCCCAGTGGCCACTCAGATATGTGAAGACACCTAATCTGTGCCACCCTGAGCCCATGTGTTTCTCTAGGTTATCCTCTCAGCTCCTCTGCCCTCCCCTGTGTGGACACCTCCTGTGCAGGCTCCATTTGTCCATGTCACAATCCTTGCCACAAGGCCCAGGGCTGATTAGACCCTCCGGACCAATCCATGCCACCCCAAGACTGTGGAATCACCCTAGGCTGCTTTTCCTGCCCCACTGGGCAGGGAGTTCCACAGGCCATTTCTAGACCCACCTGCTACCTTGCAATCTGTTGCTGTAAAGACTCCCAAGGTGGGGAGTCAAAGCCAGCTGGGAACTGACTGTAGCCAGCTCTGAAGGCAGGTGTCTCTGCGGAGGGGTGAAGGGGGCTGCCGGTTTGGTGGAAGCCACACCATCTCTCCGTGCATGGGAGGGGCAGGGAGAGCTGCAGTCTGCCTGTTCCCTGCAGTTGGTGGTGCAAGAAGCCTGACTGGGCATCTATCCTGGGGGTTGGGATCAACAAAGGCCACACATGTGGGAAGGGACTCCAGTGCTGGGCGGGTGGAGGCTCTGGCTGAGGCTGTAGTCAGCTTCCCGGAGGAAAAGTAGGCAATGAAGGCCCAAGGCTTTCTGGAGAGCTTTGTATTTCTCACTCATCTGGCCAGAAAATTCTAGGAGGGAAGACTTTCATTCCCAAGAAGCTAAGACCACCTCACATCCTGCAATAGCTGTTTTCACGACAACTGGGCAGTGATAATCGAGCCTTCCCGAGGCAGCAGCCCCCAGATTGTCAGAGTGTGGCTGAGCTGGGAAGGGCCTGACTTCCATAAAGGCTGATCTGGAGCTGTCGGCTGAGAAGGTTTACTTCTTGGGGAATGCCAAAGGACTCCTCTGAGAGTGCCTCTTTCCATGAATGCAACACAGGACAGCACTCTGAAAGGCAGGAAGCACTTTGGCTTCATAGGTTGAATCATGGAGATCATTTGGAAGCCTTCCCTTCTCCCAGTCTCTGATCAGCATGGTGGGGTGCTGAAGGATGGACACAGCCGTTGAGGTGACAGACCAACCTCCCACTGCTGGGCAAAGCCTCTATCATCATTCTTGCCTCAACCGAGCTGCTGGCTGCAAATTCCCAGCGAGGGGAAGCTCATTATATACTTCCAGGTGTAAATGAAATTCTTACCACTCACTTGGACCCAAAATGCCCGTGACTCCCCAGTGGGCCCTACTCAGCCCTTGGGGCTCCCTCACAATCCATACCCTTTGGAAATTTGAAAACACTGCCCAGATTCCCTCATCCAGGACAAAAATACAGAACCAGAAAACACAAAGGGAGGAAAGAGACGGTAACAATTTTTCCCAGCCAACTCTATCCTGCACACAGATGCTCCCAAGTTCCTGCACCCCAGGCTTTCAGGGAGCGTCAGAGAGCTTCCCGAGAGTCTAGAGAAACCATTTCAAATGCGTGTTGTTAGGAGGACAAGACCTAGCCAAGCACTGCCTTCCTCTCCAACGACACCAATGACTTGATAAAGTGTGTGTGCCTGGCCGTACCCATGCATGTGCACTATTGACTCACCCAGGAATGCCTTCAGTCCTAGGCAGCCACACTTCTGGGTGTACACATGGGACCATGGCAGCGCCTGAGTTACCTACTCGAGCCATTTCAACTTATCCTCATTACCTGGAAAGTGGCCCATCCACATCTCACTCCGTCTTCACTCTGGGCTAGGATACCAGAGGGTGCCCCTCACCTATGAACACTGCCCTGACGGGCTCTGTCTGCGACACGGGGAGGCATCTGGTCATGACTAATGATGGGTCCCAGCGTCCCTCCTGCCTGAGTAAAATGCTTTCTGAGTAGGCCCTAGAAATCAGAATGAAGCCAAAAGCTTCTTTGGTAGACAACAGCTGGTTTAACTCTGGGGCAGACCACGCGGAGATAAGTGACTTGATGAGACACAGACAGGGACCTGATTCTGAGTCTGTCTTCTCTCGGCAGCCTAAGAAGTAGACCTATAATGACGCTTGTGATAGTAACTCAGTGACATAAAGCCATGTCCAGAATGGGCACCTGCGGCCCAGAAACTTAGCAGGAGATAGTTCTAGTTGAGAGCTTATGATCTTTTTGTATAGAATGTACAGGAGTTCTAAGACCACCTTTGGGCAGAAGTGGGCAAGTTCTGGTCTGAGATTCTTAAGAACAGTTGAGGTCCTATAGGTTAAGTGCTTTTCACTTTAACGCACACGCAAATCACCCGGGGGTCTTGTTAAAACAGATCTGACTCTGTAGGTATGGGGTGGGGCCCAAGACCCCACATTTCTCACCAGCTCCTAGGGGATGCAATGCTGCTGGTCCAGAAAACTCATGGTGATCAGCACGGTGCCAGACCAGACTAGAGCATCAAAGGTAACACGACCTTTGAGGGACCTACAGGTGGTCAGTCCAGGAGAGTGTGAGACCCTCCACCTGTCTCAGTGCTATCTCATGCCATAGGTCCCAGGTGTCTGGGAGAGCTGCCACACGAGCCCTTTAATCAAACTGGTGTTTGCAGGGAGTGAGCTCTTGGATGGCGACGGCCCCATTCCAGCTCCTCTCATGGCCAGGAGGAGGAGCACAGCCCCTTATTGGCCATGCCAGGGCATAGGGAGAGCCCTTGGATTCCTTTCTGCCAAGGGAAGACAGGGGACTGTGAAAATGCACGGGGGTGACCTGGCCTTCAACCTCATGACTACTCTTGTGTCTGGCTCTCAGCCAGGCACTCCGGCCTGACAGGCGGAGACCACCACCAACAGGGCTAACCATACAATGAGGAAAACGTCCTGCCAGGGTTGAGTGCAAGAATCTCAACCATCCCAAGGGTGCCTGGGTGGCTCAGTTAAGCATCCGACTTCAGCTCAGGTCACGATCTCATGGTTCGTGGGTTTGAGCCCCGTGTTGGGGTCTGTGCTGACAGCTCAGAGCTTGGAGCCTGCTTTGGATTCTGTGTCTTCCTCTTTCTCTGACCCTTTCCTGCTCACACGGTCTCTCTCTCTCTCTCTCTCTCAGAAATAAAATATTTTTTAAAAGTGTCAAAAAAAAAAAAAAAAAAGCTCAACCGGCCCAGAGACCCAGTAGGAAAGCCCTTGGGATGCACAGCTGTGTCCCAAGAAGGGCTCACAGAGATGGTGACGTGTGAGCTGGGCCTGGAAGGAGGCACAGGATTTTTTTCCATGGCAGTGAAGGGCATTTAGGGAGAAAGAATGGAATTTGCACGACACACACCATGTCCAGGGAACTGTGAGTAGTATGTGCTCAAGCAGCTAGAACATCAGTTGAGGGGATCAGCATGGGGGAAGTGCAGAGGCCTCGCTGCTGGGGGCTAGAAAGGAAGGGTCCAGTGGGCATGAAAAAGAAAGATTTCAGGCAAAAATGAATCTTAAATGAAAAATTAAAGCCATCCCCCTCTTTTTGACCTTCAGTGTGGCAAGAATTAAATGAGTCATTCAATGTCTCTTTTTTCACATGCCTAAACTCTTAGATGCATAAGAAATTTTTGGCATCTGCCTTTTCACCTAACATTAAACATAAGCATTTCCCTCATATAACTTTATAACAGAGTTTGTTATAAACTCTGTCAATATCACTTGCTAGTGGCTGTACAGTGTTCTGTTGAATCAATGCCTGTTTGCTGGACATTCAGGTTGCTCGCCACCTTTCATGATGATAAACAATACCTTTTCTGAGTTTTAGATCATAGCCCTGGCTTGGATCCAAAAGGCTGGGATTAGAATCAGAGGGTGAGCACATAAGTTCAAGTCCTGTGACACATGTGGCAGGCAGCTTTGCAAAAGGCTGTGGGAGAGGAGTTTTAGTGCTGTGACAGATACCCAGATTCTAGAGAACCAGTGTCAGAGAGAGGCGGGCGGGGGGGGACCTGAGTCATTCTCGGCCAGGGCGAGAGCCAGCTTGAGGTCAGGATGCGCCCATGCCTATGCTCTGTGAATGGCTTCGTGCCAAAGCTGAAACAGGAAACGCGGTGGCCCCAGGTGCACACAGGTCTAGCACAGCCGCACAACTAGAGGGAAACTCCCTTAGGCCTAGTGGGAACCACTCTGCAGGTTGGTTTTCTTTTAGTTTGTAAGAAAATTCCTTCTGAAATCTTGGCTTCAGTGAACTAGAGCATTACCAACAGGACGAAAGACACAGTCAGACAATGAGATCATCGGGGCTGTCTGTGAAGACTAGGAAAGACCGGAACGGAGGGCCTGGAGACCCGGCCTGGCCTCCCTTCCCTCCAGAACCCTCATCATCTTTGAGGGGCCCAGCCAGACTATCCAACAAAGCCCTGCGGGTTTACCTGAGCAGAAGGACCAGTGCACATATCCCCTTTACCAAAGCTGAATACTGAGCACGGGCCAGCAGCGTCCTCTGAGCAGGGCCACCGGCTCCTTACCTGCCAGGGCTGGGATGGTGACCCGGTTCCACTCCCATGGCTGGTCGTACTCGTCGGCGGGCCTGTCATCATCCTGGGGCAGCTTGCTCTCCCGTAGTCGGGGGCTGACCGTGCTCTCTGAGTCCGAGTCGACGCTTTGGCCCTCGGGTTCATAAGGGGTGTCGTATAACTGGATGCCTTTGTGCTGGGACCGTACGCTTTCTTGCCTCTGAAATTCTGCAGGCAAAAAGGAAGGAGGCAGGGATGTAATGGATGTGCGGAACGTACTTCCCCACCTGGTATCTGCCAGGTGACACCCACAGGAATTCAGTCACGAGCCAAGGAGGAAAGACTCCACAGGAATAGGCCCCTGTTTCTGCATTTACCTGTTCCTCCCCACCCCCTTGAAGGCAGGATCTCTGTTCTCACAGGGCAAGATTTCCTCACAAAGATCTCAGGCTCTTGGACCTAATGATGGAACCAGAAGGTTCACTGCCGCCGTCTGGTTGTGCACTGTCATCTGCGAGGGCAGGTCCAGATGTGCACATGATGTTGCAGGTGTGTTCTCACATCACAAAGAGCCCTTGCCCCCTTGCTTTACAGAGGAGTAGGGGGCCTCCCCACTAGGACTCGTCTAACACACTATAGCACATCCGAGGGACTTGAGAGCAGACGTCTAGGTTCACTCCTTTATTTTTGAGAGAGAGCAGGCAAGGGGGGGGGGGGGGGGGGGGGGGGGGGGGGGGGGGGGGGGGGGGGGGGGGGGGGGGGGAGAGAGAGAGAGAGAATGAATCACGAGCCCCAACGTGGGTCTCGAATTCATGAACCACAAGACATGACCTGAGCTGAAATCAAGAGCTGGACACTTAACTGATTGAGCCACCTGGGTGCCCCCAATTTCACTTCTGAATAAGGGGGGAAAGCTCCAAATCCTCTGGAGGGGAGGCTAAGGCCTGGCCCTCTGTGGGCTGAGGGGTGACTGCCTATTCAGACCAGGCCCCAGACAGGGGCTTCTATGTCAGCTCCTGCTCATTTCTGAGAGGCCGGTAGCGGCTCAAAGATGGATGCTAGGATGCTAGAATCAGGTACTTCTGAGCCAAACACCTGAGGTGACACTTTGCTTGCTTTGATCCTAGACACTCCCCGTGTGAAGAGCCTGCATGGGACACAGGGAAGGGAGGGTTTGCTGGAGAGGCTGTTCTCAGGAAGCCCACTGCTTCCCGAAGAGGTAGACACATGCATCTAAATTGCCCTAATTCTCTGTGGCAAAGGGGCTCAGTGCAGGGCCTGTGAGGAGGGGAGTAGGGGGAGAGAAATGAGAACAGGAGGGTCAGTGATCCCTGTGGTTGGACCATGGTGAGCCAAGGCAGCGTGGCTGGAGAGGACCAGCTCACTGCCTTTCTGTTTCATGTGGTAAAAAACACGCATAACTTTGCCATTTTAAACATTTTTATGCGTGCAGTTCAGTGGCATTAAGTACATCCACACTGTTGTGTGACCATCACCGCCATCTACCTCCAGAACGTTTTCATCTTCCCAGACAGAAACTCTGTACCTATTAAACACCCACTCCCCACTTCCCCTCCCCCGCCCCCTGGGAGACACCACTCTACCACCCTAGATACTTCAATAGGAGGGGAATCATATGGTACTGTCCCCTCCTGTGACGGGCTTATTTCACTTAGCATAATGTTTATAAGGTTCTTCCATGTGGTTGTACGTGTGTTAGAATTTCCTTTCCTTTTAAGGTTGAATCTCTTTTAAGGCTGAATAGGCCTATCCACTGTCCACTTTTGCTGGAGCGTCGGGTCCAAGGAGATGAGAGGGGAGAGGTAAGGCTTGATATAAAAGGGGTGAGGATCGTTGAGAGTAAGCTGTTTAAAAGGACTGTAGAGACATTCTCCAAATTGGAGTTCCAATGGCATAAAGGCATGGCAGAAACCCACAGGACTTAGGTGCCTTGAAGAGCAGCAGACAAAACGCATGGTGACGTCAGCCCTTCTAAGCAAGAGCATTGTTTTTAGGCTGGGCTTCATGGTCCAGGGCCAGCTCGTGGGGATGGCAAAACTCCGCGTGCACATGCCCTGATACAACAGAAGCCAGCTGATGCCGTGCCAGTGCTGATGTTAAATAGCATTACGGTAGCGTTTCCCAGACTTCATTAAGTCACGCACACCAGCTTCTGTTGATTCTGTTGTTTGTAGGTTCCACCTGGGTTCTTACTTGCCATTTTTATTTATGCTGCCTCACTTTTTAGAGTTAGTAAATTCATTACAAAAATTTTACACCACCATGCTGAAGTCATTATCCTTTACTAGAAACAGTTGATAACACATAAAAAGAATGAATGAGAACAAAACCAAGTAGGTAGGTACCAGCCCGAGGCTTGCTTTCTCTCTGCTGGAAACAGACCTGAGCTGGAGAGCCGGTGAGGGAGCAGGCAGTGCACAGAGATACTTTCTTGGCAAACGCTTTCTCTTTTTACAAGGACAGTGGAAGAATATGGAAAAACCTTCTCACCTTCTCAAGCCCCTGGAAATCCTGTCCCCTCCGAGAAGATGTCCCATACCTTGGCAAAACATGGCTTTACTGGGTCTCATGAGTAAACTGGGATAATAAACTGGGATCGTTTATTAGTTTTAGGGATGATGTTTCCCTCTTTATGGGGGAGGGAGAGGAAAAGAGAAGAGCTATAAAAGGTAGGACTCAGGGAGCGCCTGGGTGGCTTAGCTGATTCAGCTCTTTATTTCAGCTCAGGTCGTGATCTCACCGTTCATGAGTTTGAGCCCCGGGCTGGGCTCTGCACTGACAGCATGGAGCCTGCTTGGGATTTTCTCTCTCCCATTCTCTCTGCTCCTCCCTTGCTTGTGCTCTCTCTCAAAATAAATAAACTTAAAGGTAGGACTTGGTCATTTTAAAGTGAACACCAACTGTAAGGTACTACAGACAACTCTGTAACCTACCAAGCTATCTAATCTGTTCTGTGGGGTTGTCATAGCAGCGTCCCTCTCACTGGTTCTGAGGAGCACAGTCTAGCCTCCTGTCCTTGGAAAATTCTGAGGCCTGAGGACACTGGGGATACAGCTGATGGGCACTGACCAAGGAAAACCACCTTCCTCTTCACCCTACACTATCAGCAGGCCCAGCAACCATTCATGCACTGTACAGTTTACAAAGCACTTTGCATGAGAATCGCCATTTAATCGTGGATACAACAAAGCAATTTACAGAGGCACATTTGTGAGCTTCCAATAATCAGGAGTGCCTTTGCTCTCTCCCTCACAGAGCCTGGCTACAAACAGATCTTCAAAGAGTGTGGGTGGGATAAATGAATGACAATCGACAACCAGAAACCACTCCTTATCCCCAAATTCTTGTTAATTTATGGAAGTCCTTGACAGCAGTGATAAAGTATCTGGAGCAATATGCCAACTGCATATAGTTTACTATTACACAATATGCAGAAGAGATGGATATTCTACACAAATACCCGCATAAAAGGAAAACATGTGCAGTGAACAGATTAGCTATTAAATCAGAGGGACTTGTGCATACACCTCTCCTACAGAATTTATTGTTCCAAAAGCATCTGTGCCTTCCTAAAGCTGGGTTACTAATGGCATGCAGTTAGGGCAGGGGATGTTATAATGGTAATCATTAAAACGAGTTTCCCCCTGTAGTACATGGTGAATTCAAATTTTCATTAAGGCTGTAACAATTGAGAACAGTTAAGTAAATTATGGCACGCTAACTGGATGGAATATTAAGCAGCCATTAAAATGATAAATCTGAAGATTATGTAGCTACATGGAAAAGCATGCATGAAATTATGCTAAGTTAAAAAGTAAAATAACAAGATTGTTTATGTGCTGAGCAAACCATATAATGTGGGCTTTCTAAGCGAGTCCTGGCCAATGTGAACGATGCCCCAAAGGGAATTCTAGTCCTTGCTTAGGAATTGCTGAGTACTGTCATCACACACTTTGCCCACAATATCTAGACTCTGATGACAGCAATGTTGTCACTACAGATACACATGAATAAAGGGCCGAAAACCTGATAGAGGAAGGTAAACAGCTCCTGTGCATGGAGGAAGGAGTTACTGCATAATTATTTTTGAAAGTTGTTTTAAATAATGAATAAGGACGCCAATAAAGAAAAAAGGTAATTAAGACAGGAGAACATGAAAGTAAATACAGTTTTAAGCAAGTTGGGCTTACAGCAGCTATGTGCATTTTGGAAGCAGCTGCCTTTCCCTGAGAACATACTCAGTTAGGGAGCACCTTCTCTCCCAGGAAAGGTTCGCTAGGGGCTCCAGAAGTCAAGGGCCACTGCATCAGGTTTGCTTACCAGACATCACTGTCTCCCGCCTTATGACCAGGCCCATCCTTCTTATTACCCAGACTGATCTCTGATGGTCCAGAGACTGATCTAATAGGGGACCATATGTTTTAAGTCACAAGTTATCTGGACCTAACCATCTATAAGTTCATGGAAAATGACCTTTAATATATTAGTGGCAGGCTGTGATTTCATGCCTCTTAGGCAGGAGCAGAAATATTAAATTGACAGGTGGGGATTTCTGTTAACCTCTGGAATAGAAAGGTTTTCACGTGGAACTACATATAGAGAAAGAGAACAAACAATCAAAACAGTGCTTTCTCTAGAATTAAGAGACTTAAGACTCAGAAGGGAGCCTGGGAGCACTCACCAAAGACACAGAGCCAGGAGAGGGAGGCGGGCATGCTACACAAGGATTACGGCTTAGAGGAGCAAGGGCCAGGGTATCATCTTGAGTGAGGAAACCAGGACAGAGCTTGGGGCAAACCAAGAATCTCCTGAGTGGATCCGAGGAGGGTTTAGAGTTAGTTCCCCAAGCCCGTAAGCAACAAGCTACACTTTTCTCCAGGGTTTTACCAGCTTCGTGCTGCTTCCCTCTCGTCCCCCTTTTCTTTGGTTTGGCTGCCAGGAAGCTGAGAGTTAATTCTGATGCTCAACTTCAATAAGTATATTATCTTAGATATTGTATCGCCCTTCCTTCCATATGGATTTTGATTTCCATAATAATGACCTCATTATACACATTTTAAAAAACTATAGACAACTTCAAATCTGTACTTTCAAGTTTATTTATTTATTTTGAGAGAGACAGAGAGAGCACAAGCAGGGGAGGGGCAGAGAGAGAGGGAGAGAGTCCCAAGCAGTCTCCAGACTGTCAGCACAGAGCCCAATGCAGG